ACGGAGCGCTAGGTGGTGAGAGGGGCGCTGCAGGGCAGCGGGGCGCAGGCGACCATAGCCGGGGTGCTAGGCGCCAGGGGGCACAGCGGATGATCGGGTGGTCTTCAGGGAGTGAGGCGCTGTGTGGGATAATCAAGGTCTGATTGAGGGTGACGAGTTACGTACCTGGTGCATGGAGAGAGGTCGCCGATGGTGTTGACAGTCATGTGCATTGGTCTTCGTGACCCGAAGTGATCCTGTTGTGTGAACCAGCTGTAGAGTAGGATAGTATGGYAGAGTAGGCTGGGCGCTGTGCGCCAGACAGAGAGAGCGACTCTGGATACTGTGTTGGTATGGCCTACGGGCTTGGACATTGGCTCAATACTTCATTGTATTGCTCTTTATGGATGGTTTTCTCGGTGCATTTGTACTCTCTACTTGGGATACTACTACTTGCTCAGCTGTGTGATTTCTCAACTTGGTTTTATGTATATCACTCACACTCATATTCCTTGCAAATTGGTATCGGAGCTGGTGATGATCGCCGCTTACCTGGCACCGGCGACATTGTGACTTGGTGCGCTGACGATGCTTCATGGGCAGTGAGGATACTTTGTGCTGGTTTAATAGCGGGGCCGGCCGCTGGAAGGCTTTGGCGACAGCGTGGGAGCTGTGGCGACAGCGGGTGTATGCATGATGATGAGAGTATGCTGACGTGGCATTTTGGCTGAGGTGGGCATTGTGTTGTGGGTGGTACCGAGGCTATTGACCGGTCATCGAAATGCACATCAGCCCAATTGGTGAGAAATCTGTGGTTGGGGGCAGCTATCTCCAGGTATGTTGTTCCCATTCCTTATATACCCTCTCAATCTCTTCTTACCGTGAGGAAGTGAGTCCAACTTGAGTGTCCTCTCTTTGGTGAGGAGTCGTGTGCGCTCTATCTTGAGAGACAACATTCTTCTCGGTGGCGCATCTGGCAGGAGAGGGCGGTGCCTGTGAAGGGCCCTGGTCGCAGCACGGGTCACGGTCACCATGCCAACCCATGGGTATTAGTACACACAGGCCATGCTGCTTTGTCCATTGGGGCTCTTTGCTGCGCTGATAGAAGGGGTGTGCGGACTGACCAGTCCTATTGAGACGCTCCCAGACCGTCTATAAACATTTCTGGTTGGGGTCTGAACTGTCCATTGGCTGCGATCATCGTCCTGTTTGCGACGTTAAATAATTCCTGAGGAGATGGGGGCTCTCCTTAAATCCCTCCTTACCAGCCAGATCAGTCAGACGTAAGGCTCGTTGCATGCGAGGGTAAACAAAGGGGCAGGCTGGACGTAAGGCTCGTTGCACAGGGGTGGGTCGTGGTTGCACACCTTAGACACCGCAGCTTGATGATGCTCACAGGTACGTTGGATACAGGGGAAGGGGATTCCAATTGTGAACTCAACTGTACATCACTGACATATCCATTGTGCACACATCTGCTCACACTAATCTAAGTTTTATTTTTGATTAGTTGGTTGACCGACTGCTGACACCTAACAGACGGACGAGAGTAGGACTGTAATCTACCATAGTCAGTTCTTCTCGAATCTTTTGTGCAGACTAATCAGAATAAGAGTTAGACAATGTGTACAGTTTGTGTAGATGCTGTTGTAGGCTAGGTAACTCGCCGGACATTTATTTTGTTTATTTTTAGATCGGGTCAGACGCATGTTGCGGTAGGTTCCAGCGAGGACATTAGTGCAGATAGCGTCTGCTTAACCTATGAGTGGATCAGAGGGTGGTGAAGGTACAAATGACGATAGGAGGATAACAAGGATATCATCCCGTAGAATTCCTACAGTGTTCCAGACCTTTACAAGAGGGAGAAGAGAGAAGGTTAATGGCTGAAGCTAGGGCCCGTAATCTTGAGGCTGCAAGAGAAGCAGCAGCAGCTAGAGCTGTAGCAATGGCTACTTCCGCAGCATCTGCTGCGAACTCAACTGGTCAAGGGCTAGGCATGCTTACCAGTTCACAGTCAATCTCCGGTACGTCAAGGGTTGGCACTAGTCAAATGGCGGGCTCGCAGTTTAGCTCGCCGCCTCCACGCACCCGGGAGCAGATGGAGCTCCAACAAGTAGAGAGGATCGGTTTAAGGTTAGAGGAGGAACTTAGACAGGCTACTAAAAGAGAGAAAGAGATCAAAGAAAGAAGTGTCAGATTAGAGGGCAGGGAGGCAGACATGGCTGCGCTAGAGGCATTAGAGGACTCTGCACTTAACACTACAAGAAAGATCCTGAAGGCAAGTGTCCTATCCATGCATGCGTACATAGACAGTAAAATGGATGCAATGCGAATACTCTAGACCAGATTCTGCAAGCGCTGCATAAGTTAGGGATCTGGCCAGCAGCTTTACCATCGCTGCCACTCTCAGCGATGACAGGCCTCTATGCAGCTCAATCAGGACCACCACCAAGTGTATCATCAACAGTAGCTCTATCTCAAACTGTTGCTTCTTCATCTTTTGGTCCAGTGACTGTTGCTACACCACAGTCGCCACCTATCTCACAACAGAGACAACAATATCCTTGGTACCCCAAGACCCCACTGAACCCACCTGCAACCTTCTCAGGAGACAAGAAGGATGAGGCTCTCGACACATGGTTGAGAACGGTGCCAGTGTGGGTGAGGGCGAAAAGGACATTGGTAGAAGAGGAAGTGATTACTACTGCATCCTACTTAGAGGGTTCAGCAACGCGCTGGTTAAATGGATTGGTAGCTTCAAAGGGCTTCGGCAGGAACATGCATGATTGGGCGCAGACCCACACATTAGAAAGCTTTATGGACTTAGTGGAGGCTCGTTGGCACAACCCTCAGCAGGCACAGATTGCCAATGATGGGCTCTTGAAACTTGATACTAGAAAGTACAAGTCTGTGCGGGAACTCACCATAGCCATAGAGTGCTTGATCATCGTCCGGGGAGTGGAGTACAATCCACTGGTCTTGCTGACCATGTTCCTGAGATGTCTCCCGCAGACATTAGGAATTTATTAGCCAGCGAGGCTCGCAGAGAGTATCACACTTTTGAGTCATTCAACAAGAAGGCCCTAGACTTAGAGGCTACGCTGGGTGGAGCTCAAACCCCTTCTACGGATGGGAGAACGAAGAAGACTCCACAAGAGTGGAAGAAGAAGGGTAGTCGATTGATGATGGTTGATTCCGATGGGAATCAAACCGAGATCGGTGATGTTTTCGATCTTGTGGAGGGTTCAGAGTTTGACGGCGAGGAGAATGCTGAGGGTAGCAACCTCGCCGCCGTAGTCAAGACTAAGGCAGTTGGCCGTGGCAAGGGCGGTCAACAAACGAGTCAGGGGCAGGCCCCTAACCCAAACAAAATAGCTGCTTGGGTTAGAGTAGGTCTGGATCAAGAAGTGTGGCGGGATCGTTGGTCTCGTGGTGCTTGCATTAACTGCGGTGAGTATGGTCACACACGGTTCAAGTGCAAGAACTCGAAGGTCTCGCAGAAGATCCCTCCTAAGGGTGGGTTCCCTTCTTCTCAATCTGGGGCCTCTACGAGCTCCAGCTCGGGAAGTTGGATGGCCAAAGCTATTGACTTCTTAGTCACCCCGCAGACGCATCCGGACCCAACTATACTCTGTACGTTGGATGTGTCTGAGGCCTTAGAGGACCTTCAAGGTGAGTGGTCGAGAAGGGACCCTTGTGAGTCTTGGGTGGCACTGAGTAGAGGTCCTAGAGGGGAGCACTTCGTTGTGGAAGTTGATGTGGGTGGTAGCAAGTGCGGCACCTTCGTAGACATTGGCTCCACACGAAACTTCATAAATCACGACTACGTTGACAGACTGTGCCTAAAGGACCGGGTGCAGCGCCTTAGTAAACCGGTAGCATCTACTTTGGCCAACAAAGAGCGCATGATGGTGGAGGACTACGTTAAAGATGTAGTCTGCACCTTCTCCTACCCAGGAGGAGAGATAAACCATAAGATATCATTCCTGGTGAGTAACGAGTTGCCCTTTGACATGTTATTGGGCATGTACTACCTCGAGGTTGCCAAGCCCCAGTTTGACTGGGACAAGAAGGTGTTGAAGCACGAGTTGCCTAGTGGGAGAACCGTGAGACTGGCCAAGTACAAAGCCAGTAGGTTAGTAGACTCCTATGGGTGCTTATGCGCATCTGCCTTTTATAATTATTATAAACAGAACCAAGAGGAAGGAATGTACTTAGCCTATGTCTCTGCGAAAGGGGAGGCCGTTAAAACACCCCCAGAGATAGAGACTATCGTTGCTAAGTACCCAGATCTGTTCGAGGAGCCTACAGGAGTCGTAGATAGGGAGATTGTCCATGCCGTAGAGATTATCCCAGGTAGTAAAACACCTAAGGGTAGAATCAATAGGATGGCTCCAGCCGAGTTGGACAAACTTTGGCAGCAACTGAAAGAGCTCACAGAGAAGGGTTGGATTCGGCCTAGCACTTCCCCCTTTGGCTCACCAGTATTGTTTGTTCCAAAGAAAGGGGGAACACAAAGGATGTGCATGGATTATCGAGGCCTCAATGCCATCACCGTTAAGAACGCAGAGCCTCTACCACTCATCGACGACCTATTGGATAGGGTGCAGGGATGTAAGTACTAAGATAGACTTAAAATACGGCTACCATCAGATTGCCATTAGACCAGAGGACCAGCACAAAACCGCATTTCAGACCAGGTACAGTCTGTACGAGTTTGTGGTGATGCCCTTTGGCCTTTGCAATGCGTCGGGTACATTCCAGCACGCCATGAATAGGATCTTCCATGACTACTTGGACAAGTTTGTTGTCGTGTACCTCGACGACATACTTATCTTCAGTAGATCTGTCGAGGAGCATGCTCAGCATGTAGACAAGGTACTTTCACTCCTTCGACAGCACAAGTATAAGATAAACACAAAGAAATGCGAGTTTGGTCGCACTCGAATCTTGTACTTGGGTCATGAAGTATCCGCGGATGGGATTAGGCCCGAAGATGCTAAGGTGGCTAGCATACGTGACTGGCCACGACCCCAGTCAGTGACTGAGGTCAGATCATTCTTGGGAATGTGTGGTTATTACCGCAATTTCATAAAGAATTATAGCACGATCACATCTCCCTTGACTGATCTAACTCGACTCGACACACCATGGGACTGGACCGACGAGTGTGAGGCAGCTTTCAAGCGTTTGAAGCATGCTCTCACGCATCATGAGGTTCTCATGGTACTCGACCCGCAAAGGCCATTCGTTGTAACCACTGACGCAAGTCAATATGGGATTGGCGCAGTGCTGGCTCAGCAGGAAGGGAAGAAGTTGAGACCGATCGAGTACATGAGCAAAAAAATGCCTTCAAAGAAGTTGGCAGAGTCCACCTACGAGAGGGAACTCTACGCTCTTTACAAGGCACTTGTCCACTGGAGGCACTACCTGTTAGGAAGGTTCTTCTATTTGAGAATTGACCATCAGACACTCAAGTGGATTAAGACTCAACCAGTTCTCTCATATGCACTCAAACGCTGGATTGAAGTCATAGATCAATATGATTTCAAACTAGACTATTTGAAGGGAGAATACAACAAGGTTGCATACGCGTTGTCTAGGAGGGCAGATTACCTAGGTGCACTGATTTCTGAGTTTGGTCTATCTGAAGATGTAACTCGATCTTTGGAGGAAGCCTACAAGGAAGATCCCATCACGATGGACATCATCAACAAATTACAGGCGAAAGACAAGGTTACCACTGGTGAGTTTGTGATGGTGGATGGGTTGCTCTTTCTTGAGAAGGCAAGGTTCACGAGGTTAGTTGTTCCATCTAGGGAATCTTTGCATAGTTTGTTTTTAGGTGAGTGCCACGACGCAACAGGATATTTCGGTTATAAAAAGAGTAGTGCTAATCTAGTACAACGATTCTGGTGACCTAACATGCTTGACGATGTGAAGAAGTACGTGGAGGCCTGTCAGGTCTGTCAGCGGGACAAGCCGCAAACTCAAGCTCCGCTTGGGTTACTCAAGCCTTTACCCATTCCTGCTGGCCCATGTCAGAGTATCTCCATGGACTTCATGGATACTCTAGTGACCAACAAGAATGGCAAGAGGCACATTTTCGTCATAGTGGACAGGTTCACTAAGTACGCTAGGGCTAATCGCCATGCCAGAGACTGCCAGGATTGAGCACGTCATCAAGTTGTTCATGGACAACTGGGTGCGTGACTTTGGACTTCCAAAGACAATCGTTAGTGACAGAGATGTGAGATTCACAAGCGAGATGTGGAAGAAGGCCGCTGAACAGATGGGCAGCCAGCGTCAAATGACTTCTGGGAATCATCCCGAAGCAAATGGGCAGGCTGAACAGATGAACCGAGTGGTGCAGCATCTGTTGAGGCATTACATCAAGCCCAGCCAGGATGACTGGGATGAGAAATTACCTCTCATCGCCAGCCTGAACAACAATGTTGTACACAGCACCACCGACGTCAGTCCTAATCAACTGCATCTCGGGTGGAAGCCTAGATCTGCTCTAGACTTCCTCCTGCCTGAAAACCGAACTGCTGCAACTCCTGGAACCATTGAATTTGGTGTCTAGTATGAGAAACTGTTGCAGCAGACTGTCGAACATATCAAGAAATCTCAAGAAGCCATGATTGCTTCTGAGAACAAGCATCGCTGTCAGTCCACATTTCAGGTAGGGGAACGTGTCTGGGTCAAGGCTAGTGAACTCCGACAAGAGTTTGGCATCTCTAGAAAACTAATGCCTCCGTATTTCGGTCCTTGGGAAGTCTTGGGCATTGTGGGGAATGATTTGGATGGTCCCTCGTACGTTATTCGTATCCCTGGTCACTTACGCACTTACCCTGTTTTTCATGCCTCAAAGCTTGCACCTTTCGCTGAGACAACACAGTTCTCATCACGGAGATCTATGCTGCCCCCAACCATGGACGGCCACGTGGACGTCGACGACATCTTGGATCACAGGGATACGCCTGTTCCTAAGCCACCTGGCAGGGGAAGACCTCCCAAACCTGCGAGGGAATACAGAGTACATTTCAGGCATCATACAGATCCGAAGGAAGATCGATGGATCCCAAGGGAGGAACTTGTCAAGACAGCTCCTCAGATCGTGGCAGATTATGAGAAGAGGTTAAAAGGGAAGGCACCAGCATGAAGCATCTCAGCAGACTTTCGAAGCAAAGGGGCATGGAATGTGAGGAACGAGCCCTCAAGAGGCCCTATCAGACATCACATTGTTCTGGGCTAAGGCCCCAGCAAGACAAGTGCCCGCCCTAAGTGAAGGCTGGCCTGAATATTCGTCAAAGGCAGAATTCGACATTTCCATATGGGGTATTCAGGCTCTCGCAGCACGCCAGTTGGTTGGGAAGACGCGTGAGCCTCACAATGCTGCGGCATA